TTTAAAACTAGTTGCCACAGAATGTGTTTATACAGGGAAAACTCATGAGGTATAAATGAATGAAATTGATAAAAGCACAATTGCCCAGAGTTGATATAGAGGGTGGGGAGTGGGTGGGTAGGTGCCCACTTCATGGCCTATGGGACAGAGCTCATGGACTCCTTCCAGTGTAGTTGGAAAACTCTAGAAAAGGATAAAAGAAACTGCATGGATCCTTCTTGGTTTAGTAGTCCAGATGAAACCCCCAAGGAAGTGAGCATGTACTTGGAAAGGAACTAGGACCAACTCGTGACCCTCTCAGACTCTTAAACTTCTAGAAGAAATACAGAGATCCTTGCTCTAAAAGGAGGCTCCTCATGCCCCAATGTAAATTAGCTCACGGTGACACTTGAATCAGTACCAGAAAGTGTCTTGGGGGGAGGAGGAAGGAGTTAATTGCAGTGGGTATTTCAGTGAGGTCTGACTAGTTCAGAAACAGTTGGACTTGGCCATGTGTGTGCACTGGAAACCTTTGTGAAGGCCATTTCAGATAATTGGTTAGAACGGAAACCAAGTTGGAGAGACTCCCAGAGGAAATGGGAGGATGTGGGGGATGGCCTTTCTGATGTGTTTTCCTATTGCTCCCTCTCCAGAAACATTGGTTTTTTTCACAGAAACCTTCAGGTTGTGGTGTTCTGAGCCCCCAGCCATTCCTGGGATTCCAGACCAAAGTTAATGTCAGGGTCAAGTTTATCCTAGTTTCTTCCTCTTGAAAGGAAGTGTCAGCGACTCAGTGTTTATCCTTTCTGGCTTTCTGAAGAGACTTCTGCACCCATTCTAATACTGTAGAGAGTACATTTGAAGAGAAGTGACATTAATAGAGCTTGAGAAGAGAAGGAGCTGTCGAAAAATTGGAGAAATGTGGCTCTTGAGCTGGTAGATCAGCAAAGTACAAAGAAATAAGGCCGAGCGTTATTCTGGGGCTTTGTGAGCTGTCTCTATTCTTCACAAGCCATTGGAAATAGCTGAAAATATATAAAATCAAGTCCCAGATTGGATTTCAAAGACAGAGTCTAACTGAGATTTTGTCTGAGCGGGGACCTTCCTCCCTCTTACGCAGTAAGGAGGGTCTTGACTCTTTTGCAAGTAAGACTCCAAAGTCAGGTTCTCAAGGCTAAATAGAAGCAAGGACAAAGTCAGTGGTTGAGCACCTACTGCATACTCAGTGCTGAGGACAGACACAGTCATTCCCTTCTGGAAATTTACAAACTAGTATTGGGGACAGGAAGGAGCTATGGAGGCCAAACACCATAGTGTATAGGAGAAGCTGGAAGGACCATATGACAGGTTAACCGAGGACTCCTTCTCCTCCAAGAAACTCTGCTGTACAAATTCAGTTTCTCCATAGTCACATTCCCCAAACTAGCCTTATAAGGACCTCCTTTCATTCCCTATTAAACAATCTGTGTTCAGTAATTTGATCCTTTTTCGGCTGGAAGCATGAGTACAGTTTTTGCTTTTTAGCAATTATTCATTCTTTGTTATCAAAACATCTTAGAGAGGGACTTTGCAGGACCATTAATTATCCGGATGCTTTCTTAACAATTGTAGATATTTCACATCTTGTTCTTTCGGTGGAATGTTGTGTTGATGCTATGATGCTTTGACAAAGTCAGGTAGGGCCCACAGCCCAGGGCACGGGATGGCTGTTCAGCTCTTGCTGGCCCACTCACACTGTGACATTGCTTAGGTTTCCCACTGGGAAAAACTGTCTACCTGCCAGTGTCTGTTTTTGTCACTAGATGACCCTTTTCTTCCCTTTGGCTTTTACCCCAAGGTGCCTGATTCCTTTGGAGGGGACTCGTGGGAGACATTCCAAAGATTTGCACCACATACTCAACCAAATAAGCTCTTTACAGCTTGGTTTTTAAAGAAATGTTAGGTGTGAAAGGTTTTTATGTAAAATAAGCTCTCGAGTCCACATCTGATTGTAATAGGTGGCACTGCCTCTAAAGAAACAGCAGGGCTAGATGGGACCCTCAGAGATTCCAGGGTTCTGGTCAGGTTCAGTTTGTGCAGCCTCCTGATGCACCTCGCTGCCTCGACTGTGAGCTCTTCGGGTTGTAGAGACAAAGCCATTGCTGGGTCCCGGGATTCAGATCTGGCTGGCCTCACTTTGGAAGAAAGGAATAGTTTCCTATTAGGTGAATCCTTTGGGACTCCTCCTTCCTGTCTGGTACTGGTCAAGGTTCTTAGATTACAAATAACCAGAACCCAATTCTTGTGGGCTACAGCTAAAAAGGGTTTTATTGGCAACATTCTGGTTACAGATTCATGGGGTTATTGAAGCCTGGAAAACTGTAATCAGAACTGTGCAGCAATTCAAGGAGGCTGGATCAGAGCCACAGTCAGGCCCCGGAGGAGTCTGAGTAGGATGTAGCTGCTGTTGCCACCATTAGTGAGGCTTGGACCCTGGGTATCGTCCTTGGCATAGCTGTCACTGCCACCCTTGCTGCAGTTTTGATTGTGTTTTAAATTGCCCCCCCTAATGTCACCTGTGTAGTTTCAAACTGTCACCAAGTGAGAGCATGCATCAGAATCCACTACCTTAAAAGTGAAGACCTGGTACTCACCCATATGTTGTCATTCATGCCTGCTAGAGTCACACGAGCTCTTGAAATATTGAAATGGTTTATTTCATACTATCCTGGGTCCACTCTGCTTCTGTTCTTCTACCTCTCTCCATCCAGCCACTGAATGGTTAACACCAGCCTCGGGGAGAGTCCTACAAAGAGGGCTGCAACTGAATGCCGCAGTCTGGTTGGGCACAATTTACGAGCCACTTATCCAGCAGGAACGAACTTTATTTTTAGAACGAACACACACACACACACACACACACACACACACACGCCGCACCACACGAGCTCTTCAGGAATTCCCTCAGAGCCCAACTGCCACCACTGGCTTCCCACAAGCCTCTCAACCCCCCACTCCTCCTGCTCTTGAGGCTGATTGACTGGGTCGCATGGGTGGAGCCAAAAGAGTCCCCCAATGAGCAGCTCCGAGGTCTGAAAGGGCGGGGAAACAGCCCAATGAGCATCACCCAACAGGAGCCAATCAGCTGGCAGCTGGAAGTTTGCTGGGGCCCCTTCGGTTGTGGCTCTCAACAACTCCTGTTGGTGGACAACTGTGGCAAAGTGATGGTTAAATGTTTGAATAATATCCCTGACCATGTCTACTTTAGATCAGTTTATAAGTAAGAGTGGGGCTGACACTTAGAAGTTAATAGTTTCTGTACTGAGAAGCATAAAATGTACAAAAGGATAACCCCAAGTGACAGTGACTACTCTTCAGTGCGAGTTGAGGCCCCTTTTTTTTGCTTGGTTCATGTGATAGCTCCATTATCTCTATTCATTTCTTCCCCAGCCTAAGTGGCTGTGTGCTTTGTACTCACTTTTAAAATTAAGATGAATTAAATGAGACTGTGCAGAGGAAATTGGTAAATGGACTGTGGAGTACTATTACAGTGAAATAGTATACAGCCATAAAAGTGATGAATATACTGACTGTAGAAACCCAGAAAAATGTTCATGAAATAGCTGTTTTTAAAAATGAAGGCGCTGAGGGTGTAGCTCAATGGTAGATTGCTTTTCTAACATGTGTGAGACCCTCGTTCCATCCCCAGTACTACAATCAATCAATCAATCAATCAATAAATGTATAACACAAAGCTGTTCAAATATGTTTATAACTGTGTAAATGTTATTTATGCATTTAAAGATAGAACTGCAAAGGAATAAAAATAGTTTCTGTTAAGATAGTTTCACAATTGGATCAAACATTCAGTATGCTTTAAAATTGAGTAAAGCCTTAACATAATGAAATGATTGTGAAAATAATAAACATTTGCTGATAATCACAAATAGCCCTTTGGGTCCTGGGAGGCAATCTGAGATATTGTAAAGGTAGGATTAGAAAATGGTTAAATGTTTGAAGTATGTACTGAACACAGCAAGTTTGTGCTCTTTGACGGAAAACAAATGTTTCCACAGCTTAGAGAACAATTTAAGGGGATGTTGAAGGTCATGGATAGTCTCACGTGTATTCGACAGTGACAGGCAAAGTTAGTGCTGGTTTGGGCTACAGAGAAGGACTTAGAATGATTTTTCTTTTCACCTCCACAATTCTACTCTGTCAGTGTAAGAATAGTAAGCAAAGCAACTGAGAAGGGAAGCCAGTGCCCAAATCCAGCTTGTTAAAAAGGGAAACTAAGCATGTCTCCTCATGTGGACCCTTTACCCTATTTTGACATTCCTATTACATAATTTGTGAACCAAGGATTTTCTCTATGTCTTTTCTGGTATATTTTCTAGTGCAAAAGGACTACCTTGTATTCTGGTTAGAATGCAGATTCTGATTCAGTCATGTAGAGAAAGTGGAGTCTGGGTTTCTGCATTTTTAATAAGCTCCCAGCTAATACCAGTACTGAGGGTCTTGGGACAACACTTTCAGTGTCAAGGTTCTGCATACCCTGAGGACTCACTTTCCTGACTGTGTGACCTACGCATGTGTTCAGTTAGAACTCACTATTCATAGTACACATAATACCTGTGTTTCAAAAACTATAAAACACCATTGAGAGAAGCTAATGAGGACAGAAAGCACAGCCATGGTTCCTAGGGTGTTGGGATGATATATCCATTGTAGAGAATCATAGAGAACTTTTTTGGGATGATGTAAATGCTATCTGTATATTTGAGTGGTGATTTTAAGATGTGTATTTGTCAAAACTTTAATCGTACAATTAAAACGGATACATTTCATTAAGGATTGAATGATGTGCCCAAGGTCACAAAGTATGTGGCCAGCTGTGAGCCTGAGGATGCTTGGCCAGATGACTCCTGGTTCAGCTCTGTTTTATCAAGGGCTACAGTGCTTGCATTTTTAATGCTAGCCATAGGGATTTATCTTGAACTTGCCATTCATCCAGTCATTGTGTGGTGTTTGTTTTTCTGCAGAGCATTTCAGAGCCCCAGTTGCAGAAGCCTTGTCCTGCCACCACCATGAGCTCTGGTAAGTCATTTAAAACTCTGCCTTTCTTTTGTGAAGTCTACAAAACCGGGCAGTTTACCCAGATTTCCCATATACTCTGAGGGCCCCACAGCATTTTTATTTTTCAAAACGTGAGTAAGCACCCACACTCTTGTCATAAATCACCACATACATTGTTAATATTTTTTTTAGTATCTCTGGTGTCAGAACTGTGCTGTGCACTTTGCATGCACTATGTTCTGATCTTTACAACAGCCCTCTTTCCTTTTAGTGAAACATAATCGGCAGACAACACAGTGCAGATATTTTAAGTATATAATCTGATAAATGTTGACATATGTGTACACCTCAGTGGCATTTCTTCATCTGAGAGATCGCAGCAAAAGTACCCAGATTGACCATAATTACCCCAGAGTGAGAGCTAATCTGAAACTTCCTTTATTTCCCCTGGCAGAACTAAACAAATGACTAATTTTGAGTATTTTTAGTCCTGGGCTGGTGTGGAAAGCACAGGGTTAAGGAAGACAGAGAAGGAAAGAGATTCCTGTTGATTGTGCAGCCAAGAATTGCCAGGGTTCCAGCCTAGAATTGGAGGCAGAGAAGGTTCCATCAGAAATTTGGTCCTACTATGGCCCTGGAGCATATTCTGGAGCCTCCCAGGACCTGCAGGTGGGGATGGCAGGGTAACTGGGTGAATATCTCATTCAAGGGGTCCCCTAATCTTGCATTATTTCAAGGATTTTATCTCTGTAGATTAAAAACCAGCCTCTTTTTGTTCATTGGCAACCGTGCTCTTTTAGCCAAGTCCTGAACTCTGCAGGACAGTGTGAGGTGTGGCCTGGGGAAAAAGCTCAGGGCCACACCCCCACCTCATTCATCATGTATTTGCGGGGTGGCTGTGGGCCTGTGGTAGATGCTTCTTTGCATTCTATAAAATGGCCATGGTAAAACACCAACCTGTTGGGATTTTTGAGAGGATTTAGTGAAGCAATGCTCTTCAAATACTGAGCCCCATGCCCAGGCATGGCTAGTGCTCTATCCTTGGGGTTCATGCTGTTAGCAGTCCAGAGTTTTTCCCTGCAGAGAGGAACTTGACTTGTCCCCCATTCCTGAGTGTGTTTGCTGTGTATGAAGACACTGTGTACCTTTCTCCCTCCAATTGGACTCAGGTGGTGTATGTAACTCATTTTTTGTTGTTCATTTGCATTTATTGTCATTTAAAATAAGCTTCCCCTCCTGCAAAAGTTTTGCTCTACAGTCTAAAGTTTCTTACTCTTCCAATCTCAGGATTCGCCTAAACTGACATCCTGCTACAGACATCTATTAGGGGAGGCGAAGGAGGAAGAGGGGGGGACCTGGAGGGAGGGTGAGATGTGGCAGTGCCCAAGGGACTTCCCCAGGGTCTCACTGAAGGAGGGGCTAAAAGGAGGCATTTCCTAGGAAGCCGTGTGTCCTGTGACCCTATAATCTCAGTCTTAGGACTTTCTATCTTAATTTGAAAGAAACAAAACATCACCCTCATAAAGGTAAGGAATGAGAAAATGCACCATGAATATTTGTCTGATGGGAGACTGGGCTACTGTTAACAGTGATCAGGGGGAAGACCCTAATTGCCAGGAAAACATTTGTTTGCATCTTTGAGAGAAAGAGCAGCATGAAAGACTTGTTCTTTTCAGTTGACCTTTGGACTGAGCTGCCAGGATCTGACAGAAGTCCTTTACCTGCATGGTCTTGCTTCATCTTCCTGGAAACCAAATGTGGGCCTGGCTTACTGCCTCTATTATGTAGATGGGGAAATCGAGCCTCCAGGGGCTAATAACTGGGATCACTTAACTAGTATGGAGTGATGGCAAATGCAGCTTGTTGGACATGCTGCTGCAGAGGCTTGAGTTTGTTGCTTTGGGGGTGTGTTGTAGGGGTTGGGGGGTGTCAGATACTAGGGATACCCAGAGTCACTCTACCAGTGAGCTACATTTCCAGCCCTTTTAATTTAATTTTATTTTATTTTGAGACAGGGTCTCCCTAAGTTGCAGAGGCTAACCTTATGTTCTACCTGCCTTAGCTTCCTGACTAACTAGGCTGACAGGTGTGTACTTTAGCACCCAGTTTGGCTTTATTGCTTTTTAAACCCTTTTTCAAAGTTTCTTCTAGGTTGATTATTATGTTTAATCAAGAGAGAAAAAGGGAAAGGAAGAACATGTGCCTGGGTTTGGTGGTAGCTCATGGCCACTCTCTGCAAGCCTGGGGAGGCCCAAGGCAAAGCCAACAATCTCAAACAGCTGTGATCAAGGGGAACCAGGGCAGGTACATAGAAAGGGATAAAGATGGTTGAGTGATGGAACTTGTGATATTTTCTGTACTTAGGTTTCTGCCTTCTCACCAAAGCTATTTTTCTACCTATTCAAAAATGAGGGCTCAAGGGAGATTTGGCATCCAAGGGAATGACCTGTGGGCATATGTGGGTGAGGAACAAGATGCAGCCTTGGGGCTGGCATTGACGAAGTGCAGAGCACTGGTGGAAAGGGCCAGGGTCCCTGCTTATGTGTGGTGTAGGCTGTAGCCAGGCTAGCTTGTTTGTGTAGTTTATCGGGTGTCCAACCTTTCAGGAGGCTGATTGTTAAAGAATCTTGGTAGGGTGGAAATCTTAGCCAGATGTGTTACTGGAGTTTGGGACTGGGCTTCAAGCCCAGCATTTGGGGAAATGTGATATAAAATAAATCAGGAAACCAAATTATTTTAGTTAGGGAGGAAGAAGATGAGCTATGATCTGGGGCTGTTCAACTCCCAGCTTAATGATCTTGGGTAGGCCTGACATTCTCTCGGTGCATAAGTATTCTTATCTATAGAAGTTCCCAACTCTTAACTGCAAAGGGTTGGGTCTAAAGGATAAAGTGAAATGCTGATTATGGAATACTGAACCTAGACCCTCAAGCCCAGGCAGATAGATGCTTAAAGAATTATAGTTATGACTATGTTTGTAGCTTGCTTGGCCCTTTGCTGTTGGGGCTGCACTCCTCCAAGCACCCCTGCCTATTTTCCCTGCCCTGCCACTATGTATCTATTTTGGGATAAAGAACTGGGTGAGACCCAGGCTTCTGCTGGGCAGGGAAGGTCTCAGTGTTATCTGCAGCTGAGCAGAACTGATGAAAGTCACACCTGACACAGAAGAGGTGTGATATTCAAGGTGAGCCTTTAGGATGCATAAGCTTTCCCCAAGGTAAGGAAACCACATTCCTAGCCAGTACCTCAAAGGAACCAAGGACTAGAAGTCTGAAAGTTTCCAATACACTCAGTTTAGATCAGCAGAGTAGGCAGGGAGAGGAGTGAAATACAGCTGGGAAGGGCTTGGACAGGTGGTCCGGGGGACTTCAATTCAGGGCAATTTGCTTATGCTCTGTCCTTTGGATATGCTCTGTCCTTGGCCTGGTGGCCCCTGAAGCTTGTGGGCTGGGTAGTTGGTTTTTAATCAAGAATGTTGGTTTGTTAATTTGACTATAACCTTGTATTGCCTAGATGCAGGTCACCCTACTTACTAAAACTTTATATATCCCAAACAATCATTTCTGTACTTTTGGGAACTTGGAATACATATATTTCCCAGTGGAAATAATATTCTACATGAGTGAATTCCCAGGCTAAACTCCCCAATTTTAATTTTCAAATCTGAGGTCAAATATAGTACATTTAAAGGAAAACAGCCAAGAGAATCATGTTGCAGAGTCCCATTTTGTTTTCATCTGTCCTGCACCCCAGGGCTCCTTAATGCAAGGTGGTGGTTAGGTCAGAGTCTAGAAAGTGCTCTCCGGATGCAGATAGGGGTTGGAGAAGGGAAAGAAAGAAGGCAGCCAGGATGTCAGGAGGTCATGGCATCTCTGGGACAGTAGCACAGGACCTGAACTGGGGTGATGAGGAGGGGAAGTGTCTAAAGGCAAACTATGGAAAGGATGGCATGACTTTGACAAGCTCGACACGGGACGGGTGAGGGAAGATGTCAGGGAGCCCGAGGATTCCATCCAATTGTCTGACATGGTACACTGTGGGTGCACTGTGGGTGCACGGCTTGGTCTCGTTGAGCTGGCCTTTGAGCAAGTAGACAGGCCTTGTCAGATAGGAGGTTCCATTTTAGAGGAGTTAGACAGATTTTTTTTATTTTTTATTTTAATTTAATTTTATTCTTAAATATTTTTATTAGTTATTAATGGACCTTTATTTATTTGTTTATATGTGGTGCTGAGAATCGAACCCAATGCCTCACACATGCTAGACAAGTGCTCTACCACTGAGCCACAACCCCATCCCCAAAAGATTTTTTTATATGTTAGAAAAGAAGCCATAGTCGGACATGGTGGCATATGCCTCATGGGAAGGCTGAGGCAGGAAGATCATAAGTTTGAGGTCAACCTGGGCAACCTTTTTTTTTAAAAAAAAATATTTATTTTAGTTTTAGGTGGACATAATATCTTTATTTTATTTTTATGAGGTGCAGAGGATTGAACCCACTGCCTCACACTTGCTAGGCAAGCGCTCTACCACTTGAACTACAACCCCAGCCCCCAACCTGGGTAACTTAGTGAGACCCTGCCTCAAAATAAAGAGGGCTGAGGCTGTAACTTAGTGTTGAAGCACCCCTGGGTTCAATCCTTAGGACCAAATATACCAAAAACAAAAATTAAAACAAAACAACAACAACAACATGACAAAAAACCAAAAAGAAAAAGAAAAGGAAGCAAGAGAATTTACACATATCACCCACAACATACTTCCCATCTCTACATAGATTTTGTATCCTGCCTGGTTCAGGCCACACAACATTCTTGGAGGTCTCCCAGGACACCCTAGGGGGTCTATCTCAACCCTGAGAAAACTGATGGGACATGTGATGATAGATAGAGCTGCATCAGGGACTTAGGGACCCCCCTCTGCTGTCTCTTGACTCTTTCCCCAGCACCTTGTACCACATGGGACTCAGTAAATTCCGGGCGATATGGTCACAAGTCTCATGTTCTTTTTCTTTCTTTCAGAATGTGATGGTACTTCTAAAGCTGTTGTGAATGGCTTGGCACCTGGCAGCAATGGGCAAGACAAAGGTAAGGCTCCTGAAGAGAAGCCTGGGGTGGTACTGAAAAGCATTTCTAGAAGGTGTGTGGTATGTGGGTTGGGCCACTCCACTTCCCTGGGAGTAACTTCACTGGCCAATCAGGCGGTGAACTAGGGACCAGTTCCCTATAATGACATGGGTTGTTCTTGATTCTCACTGGTCGAAGGCTCTGAGATGGTATATTGAAAATTGTCCCTAGTTCACAAGGGTGCTATGAAGAATGGGTCAAATATATAGACCAAGGCATCTGCCATGCCTTATGCATCTGACATTCATCACCCTGAAATCTTGCATTTCACCTTTGCTGGTAAATAGGGATACTTTCACAGCCTGGGAGGCAAGAGCCTAGATCATTAAAAGAAACTATTTCAGTGCAATTAGTTTCCTGCACATTCTGTCATATTTTCAGATTTTGTTTTTTTTTGTTCTGCTTAAGATAGAACCAAGGGCCCCTTGTGTGCTAGGCAAGCCCTCTACCACTGAGCTATATCCTGAGACCTCATATTTTTAGTTTTTAAATACTGAGGTTGAGAATCATGGGCAAGGGGAGGGAAAGGAGAAGTACTGGGGTTTGAATCGGAACAAATTATTTAATAAGCACATATCAATATGTCTAAATGAACCCCACTATTATATATAACACACTAGTAAAACATTAAAAACTCTTTTTAGAAAAGAGATTTAAATGTGAAGTGAATAATGGATAAGATGACCTTTGAGGTCCTATTTGCTCAGAGACTTTTACTTTGAATTCTTTAATGTGTCTGTCTAAACAGCCTAGCAGAGGATTCCTTCCCCCTTTGGTATCAGGGAATAAACCCAGAAGCACTTAACCACTAAGCTCCATCCCCAGCCCTTTTTATTTTTTATTTTGAGACAGGGTCTCACTAAGTTGCTGAGGCTATCCTCAAACTTCTGATTCTCCTGCCTCAGCCTCCCAAGTCTCTGGAATTACAGACATGTGCTACTGCATCTGGTTCCTGACACCACTTTTGCAGTATGGAGTGACAGGGAGCTTAAGTTGGAGTAATGAGAAATGGTTCAAGGACTAGTTCTCCCTTCACAAACAGAGATGTCTTGGGCGGTCTTTTATCTTTAAGAGTGTGAATTCTCTTCTCTCTAAATGAGGGACTTTGATGACTGTAGTGTTTATTCCTGCTTCCCTTCCTGGGCTCCAGTGATTCTTTGACTGCTCATTCAACTACATTTTATGGAATCAAAGGGGAAGCGGTAAAAAAAAAAACAAAAACCCAAAAAACCTGATGTGGGCCATTTAAGCCAAAAGGCAAGATTTCCCAAAGAATAATGCCACAGAGTGTGTCGTGTTTGGCCTTTGTAATTCCCATCTGGTGCAGCCAAGATTTCCTTCTGAGACAAGGCCAGGTATGAACCCAGAGGGAAGCCACGAGGGAGAGAAGGCAGAGCGAGCAGGAGGAGTTGGGGACTCTGGGCCCAGATGGTTTGGAGGTGGGCTCCTCATGGACAGGAGGTGTCCTGCTGTTGTCCTGTTCTCCCTGCCTCCCTGCCTAGCCACTCTTGCTGTGGGACTGTTTCTACTGTGTTCTTGGGGTCTTGAACAATCTTGGTGCAGCTGCACTTAGGGGACATTGGGGACAATACATGTGGAGTGGCTGCAGGGAAGTGTTAAGCATCCAGTGAGGAGCATGGTGGGGGTGGGGATCTCATTAGTTTTTAAAATCTGTGGGTCTGTCCGCTCTGTCCCTGTGAATTCATTTAAACTAGTGTCTTGAGGAGGTGGGAGGAGGGTGGAAGGTGGAGGTGGGTTCTACTCTCTCCTTAGTAAGACTCATCTTTAACTGGAAACAAAGAGGCAGGTGTTTTGTCAGGGGAGCCTCTGAAGGTCACAGAACCAGGAACCAGGACAGCTGAGCTCCAGTCTCAGCCTCTGCACTTGAGAACTGAGTGGTTGGCTTCTTCCTCTGAAAATAGTAACAAATCTCCCACCCAGCCAATCTCCCAGGTGATCATAAGGCATAGTCAATAGGATGGCTGTAAAAGTTCATTTGTATCTTACTGTGTGCAGAATTGTCATTATTTACTTAGTTATTGGTGGCCATATGGCATATGAAGTGTCAGGTGATGAGTTGGGAGGTACACTGTCCACTGCCAAGGTGCCTCCCCTCCTCCCTCCTGTTCTTGGTTTCACCAGCATGATGTTTGATTCAGCAGTGACAATCTTATACCCAAGCAGTACTACCCCTTTGTTATCCTGTGACTCTGGGGCCCTGAGACCTCTGGGCATCATTTGTTGGAGCAACTTTGGCATCAGAGCACAAGAGCTCTGACCTTTCTTTATTTGCTGCCATAAATAAAGCCTCGCCAGAGGCTTGGGGATGTGCTCACCATTGAGATCAGAGCCTGGGCAGGCAGGGAGCCCAGAGACACTGAAGATAGATAAGTGGAAGCACACTGGCCTCGAGGACCACAGCCCTCCTTGCATCCCAGACTGTGTCCTACTCTGCTTTAGCTCAGCTGGGCATTGGGACCTTGGGTTGTACCTGAGTCTGCCTAGTCTGCACTTGGATATTTGGCAACTGTCTCCCAGTGAAGGGTAGGTTTAAGCAAGACCATCTGTTTCCAAACAGATGGGGGTTCCGATTTGCTTGGGGCCAGAGGGTAATGATTGTTAGAGTGAGCCCAGGACCCCACAAGTTATGATTTGGGGAAGCAGTTATGGTGATTGAAGTGACCAGGTGACTCACAAACTTACTCCTTTCTTTGCTCGACTTATCTGGAGCCTTTTGTCCACAGCCCTCTCCTCAGAGCCCTTGCTACAGAGCAGACCACCCGGCATTCTCTCAAGGGGCCCCTGGACCCTGATTGCACTCCCCTTCCTCCATTTGCCAGGCCATCTGTGTCTCTGTACAACTCTTTGTCCAGAGCCTTGGCAAGCTCCCGGTGTGGCAGGAGGCACTGGTAAACACTGACCAACTGTATTTGGGTGATGGTTGGAGGCAGGCTTCTGTGACTTGGCCCAGAACTCTAGAGAGAGAAAGCAGGTTATTTTTGATTACTGCATCTACTGCTCTTTGTATTGTTCTTCTTGTGTAGGCGACTTCCTCCTATTGTCCCTGCTCAGTTCCTCAACTGCCTGAGTGTTTCCCAAATGTTCCTTCTGGATGCACCATTTACCCTTTTGTGTTTTCAGCAACTGCCGACCCTTTACGCACACGCTCTATTTCTGCTGTTAAAATAATTCCTGTGAAGACAGTGAAAAACGCTTCAGGCCTAGTGCTCCCTCCAGGTATCTCGCCTTGGGTTGGTCCCTTTCTTTCTAATTGTTAGATCACGCATGGCTCCTTTCTTCTTCTAACACATACTTTGAGGCTTAATCCTTGCATGTTCATGAGGCATTCTCCCTCTCTTCCTGTTTGTTTCCTTTCTTCGTGTGTGTGTGTGTGTGTGTGTGTGTGTTTTTCTGGGAGTCAACAAGAAGGAAAACTGCAGACAATGGCCTTGCTTTCCCTCCATTAGGAGAAGGGTCAGTTGGGGGTAGGGCATTTGGTTTGCGTGGACTTGTCAGCTCTCCCTAGAGATTTACAATTTCCTGTGCTTCAGTAAAAAATCGACTTTCCTGGAGAATTAACCTGGCCTCACACAGGGAGCCTCTGACTTGGGCCGACTTGGAAGCAGCTGCTGTAGATGCCAAACCTTAACTTGCTTTGGTGATGCTCTGGGCTGTTTTCCAGAGCACCCTGCCCCTCCCTAGCTTTACCTGCAAGGAGGCAAGGCACAGTTAAAATGTCAGTTCAGATGTCAGCTCTGACTCACAGCTTCCTTCTGTACCAAGTGGGACAAGTGAGGCCGAGGCTGCATCTTATCCTGTAGCACTTCCAGAAGTTGGGCAGTTCTGGCTGGATTTGCCAGTTTGCCCCTTGGTTTTTTGAAATGACCATAAACCATTTTTCCTAATAGTTTTGTGACATCAGTCACTTACCCCTTTGACAGGTAGAAAGGTCAGAGCCTCTCCAAGGCCACCTCTGGCTCCGCCATGCATTGTGGCTTCTGTGCTTTACTTTCAGTGGTCACAGAGGGCAGATCTGTCCTCTTCTGTAGCGCTGGTGACTATTCTGAGCTGTTGGGAAAGGGCTGTTGAAATAGAAAGCAAGGAGAAAAGAAGAATTGCTTCTCTATCCTTGCATAGGAATGGGGATGAGTCGGACAGTGAGCCCACTTCCTGTGCAAATGCACACCCTGAGCTTTAGCCTATAATCCTAAGCGCGGCGATTTTAGGTCAGTGATAGAGGCTGTGCGCAATTTGGAGGAAAAAAAAAAAGTAAGCATGGAGTTTAGCTTAGCTCAGCTGCACAAAAAGAAACATTTGGCACATGTGCCTTCTAGAATTGCATGGTCTGCACCCGTTTCCTGTCTCTTCATTACTGATTTTCCTGGAGGATAGGCATCCAGATCTTTTGAAGCTTACAGTAGTCCCCCTGAACTGCAATTTTACTTTCTGTGGTTTCAGTCACCTGTGATCAACCGTGGTCTAAAGGTATTAAATGGAAAATTCCAGAGATAAACAATTCACAAGTTTTAAATAAATTTTATTAAATTATAAGTTTACAGTTGCTCCATTTCATTATTAGTTATTGTTAATCTCTTCCTGAGTTTAATCTACGGGGCTTTATCATAGCCATGAGAGTGTGTGTGTGTGTGTGTGTGTGTATATATATATATATATATATAT